AATATTTAAAGACTTAGTTTTATAATGTTTGTTAAAAAAATACAAAAAAAAAAAAAAAAAAAAAAAAAAAAAAAAAAAAAAAAATATGGGGCAAATACAGTAAAACATTTTGTTAAATTCCAATATACATTCAGTGATACCGCTCTTTTTCTTCTAAACCTGTGTGTTATAATTTACCAGTTCCCCAAAATGGCGTTTTAACGCCAAACTGTGGCATATACGTGGAAAATAGCTTTTTATAATTAATTTTCAAAGTTGTAATTTTAAAGAATTTGGGTGTATACCTATGTTAATGAAACAACAGAAGTACAGAAAAGAATGTCAGATACAAAAATCAATCGTGAAGAAAATCTGTTCTTAATATATTTCATTATGATCGAAAAACATAAAAACTAACATAGGAAAGTGAAAGATCAGTTACTTATATTTTGTTTCCTCTTGTGGTTTAATAAAGTGAAGTGTGTGTGTGTGTGTGTACCTGGGGGTGGGCAGTGCTCTTTTTCTAAAACTAATATGCCGTATATATCTGAAGTATGACCTTTTTAGTGTGTATTAGGATGTGGGCTGGTTTGCTTTTCTACCGCCTTTGTAATTTTATGTATCCCATCTCCTTTGTGTGAATTCATATATGTGAATTCATATATTATAGCAAAATACAAGAGACGTGGGACTGTTTGCAATACCATATGGACATCTTTTAAAAAATATATGTAAATAAAATAAAAAATATTTGTCCCCACCTTTTCCCCCAAAACAACAGCAAGACATTTTTGTTAGATATTTTATTTTTAATGTTTTCTGTAATTTAAAAATGTATAGTCTGCCAAATTGTTGTTTTCATAACCATGATTTTTTTTGAAAAACAGTTTTATCTTAAAATACTGAATGTTCTGACTTTTTATAGATGTTTTTAATTTTGTTTTAAATAATTTTAAATTATGGAGCTTGACCTAGATTTGCCAATAAACTTTCTAGTCAATTTATTTTCTCTTTCTTATAAATAAGGTTTTTATAATTTTATATTAGCAATATTCTTAATTCTAAAATTAAATAAAATTTATTCAAATCAAACTTTATCATGGTGAGATATAGGCAAATCCCTGAACGTAGGTGCCAGGCACCTTTCTTAACTGACTTTTATTTCCATTTAGTTCAAAATAATAAGAAATGTAGTCAAAGTTTATTTTCGTTATCCGTCCACAAAATGGTTAAACGTGTGTGTGTATGAATATACTCTCTTCTCACTTGCAAATGCTCTTTGTTGAGCACATTGACTCCCATTAGACTATGACACCTGTTACCCTACCTTATTGTAATTCATCATACAAGTGATCTCATACTTCTCTCCCTAATTCTTAGAAGATTTTAGCAAGTGGCTTACTATCTTTCTACCATTAGTTCTGTCATCAACCTTTTTATGTCATTATCTTCTTGGGCCAATGGTTATTGACCATACCTGCACATTGTAGTTATCTGGAGAATTTTAACAAAAAACTGATGTCTGAACCCCTACATCAGACCAAATACATCAGAAAATCTGCAATTGAAGTGTGGTCTTTAAAAATTTTTTTAACTTAAAAAATTGACATACAATGTACATATTTATGAGGTACATAGTGATGTTTCAATACATGTATTGTGATCTGATCATTGTAATTAGTATATCCATCATCTTAAACATTTATCATTTTGTGTTGGGAACATTTCAGTATCCTCTTCCTAGACATTTGAAGCCATATATTAACTACAGTCACCCTGCAGTGGTAGAGAATACTAGGAACTTCTTCCTCCTATCTAGCTATAATTTTGTATCCTTTAGCAAAGCTCTCCCTATCGCTCCCTTCCCCCTACACTTCCTAGCCTCTCGTATCCTCTATTCTACTTTTTCCTTTTTTTTAGCTTATACATATGAGTGAGAACATGCAGTGTTTAACTTTCTGTTTCTCACTTATTTCACTTAATTAACAATGTCCTCCACCTTCCATGTGACTGAGAATGACAGGATGGTGGTTTTGTTTGTTTTGTGTGTGTGTTTTCAAGGTCCTCTAGAAGACTGTAATGTTCAGCAGGGTTAATAATGTTAATTTAAGAGACTGATCCATCAAACTGATTTCATGACCCACTAATGGTACTTAACATATAGTTTTGAAGAACACTGCTTTAGATCTTGTCATCACCTCCAAAGTCTCAATTTCTAGCATCTTAACTCACCCCTCTTTCCAGGTTACTGTTTTGATTATGCCTATACCAACAATTCTTTGACTCCACTAGGTTCTTTAGACAATTGATTCTATCATCTGTCCCTCATCTATAATTTCATCACCTTCACTTTCTTTTTTAATGTTTGTCTATTTATTTATTTAGAGACGGGGTCTCACTCTGTTGCCAGGCTGGAGTGCAGTGGCATGATCTTGGCTCACTGCAGCCTCCACCTCCTGAGTTCAAGCCATTCTCCTGCCTCAGCCTCCCAAGGAGCTGGGACTACAGATGCGCACCACCACAACCAGCTAATTTTTGTATTTTTAATAGAGATGGGGTTTCACCATGTTGGCCAGGATGGTCTCAATCTCTTGACCTCATGATCCACCCGCCTCAGCCTCCCAAAGTGCTGGGATTACAAGCATGAACCACCACTCCTGGCCCATCACCCTCACTTTCTACTTTAGCATAGACATCATTGTCCTTGCACATCCCCTAAATTCTTGTCCTTCTGATCTGAAAAATACTGTTTATCTCCAGTTACTCCAGCTGCTTGCATCTATACTCACTGACTCTTTTTACTTTAAATTTATGGCCCAGAAAATCAAAGGCCCACAGCACTGTGTGGCAATCCTTACACATTCTCCTGGTCAATTCACACTTAACCTCTCCCCAACAAGTATTCTCCTCTTTATTCAGATCTTCTATTCTCTCACTTTGTTTCTTTTTTTACTATGAGAAAATGGAAACAATAGAAAAGAACTTTCTCACTCTCCAAATCTATCAGTGTGTTCTCTATCCAACTAATTTTCTTTATTCTTATTAAGACATGAACCATCTCCACCCTTTAGCCATTCTGTCTAGCTGTGATCAGTAGCCATCTCTTCTACTAAAAAGACTTCTGCCAGGTATGGTGGGTTAGCCTATAATTCCAGCACTTTGGGAGGCTGAGGCAGGAGGATCACTTGAGCTCAGGAGTTCGAGACCAGGGCAATATAGGGAGACCTAATCCAGAAAAATTTTTGAAAATTAGCTGGGCATGGTGGCGTGTGCCTGTAGTCCCAGCTATTTGGGAGGCTGACGTGGGAGGACCACTTGAACCTAGGAAGTTGAGGCTGCAGTGAGCCGCTATTGTTCCACTGCACTTCAGCCTGAACACAGAGTGAGATACCGTCTCAAATTAAAAAAAAAAAAAAAACACACACACACATTCCTGAGTCATTTTTGCTCTATTGGCTTGTTCTCACTTGCATATATACCTCCCATTTTTAATCTCCCATTTTAAAACCTTCCAAGGCCCTACCATTCCATTTTTGTACGCTTTATAGCAAAAATTCCCAGAAAAGAGTTATCTAACTCATGTCATCTCCCCCTTAACACCCACCTTTCTTTCTTGAACTACTCCAATTATGCTTACATTCCCATTACTCCAGTGAAACAGTTCTTATCAAGACACCATCCCCATGTTGTCAAATCCGATGGATCATCATCAGTCTTCTATTTACTCCATTTCTCAGCAGCATTTGACACACTGATTTTTCCATTTTTTTTTTTTAAAAATTTCTTAAGCCAGGCGTGGTGGCTCACACTTGTAATACCAACACTTTGGGAGGCCAAGGCAGGTGGATCACCTGAAGTAAGGCATTCTAGACCAGCCTAGCCAACAGAGTGAAACCCCATCTCTACTAAGAATACAAAAAGTAGCCAGGTGTGGTGGCAGGTGTCTGTAATCCCAGCTACTCGGGAGGCTGAGGCAGGAGAATTGCTTGAACCTGGGAGGTGGAGGTTGCAGTGAGCCGAGATCGCACCATTGCACTCCAGCCTGCACACCAAGAGCAAAACCCTGTCTCAAAAAAACAAAAACAAAAATAATGACCAGATGTGGTGGCTCACACCTGTAATCTCAGCACTTTGGGAGTCCGAGGCAGGTGGATCACTTGAGGTCAGGAGTTTGAGACCAGCCTGGCCAACATGGTGAAACCCGATCTCTACTAAAAATACAAAATTAGCTGGGTGCAGTGGCACACGCTTGTAGTCTCAGCTATTCGGGAGGCTAAGACAGAAGAATTGCTTGAACCCTGGAGGCAGAGGCCGTAGTGAGCCGAGATGGCGCCACTGCACTCCAGCCTGGGCAAGACAGAGCAAGATTCCATCTCAATAAAACAAAACAAAACAAACCATATTCTTCATTTTGCCTCCCCAATACCAAACCATCCGGGGTCTTCTTACTGGTTTTTCAGTTTCTTTTATTATATTCACTAACATTTCCTGACTTTTTTTTTTTTTTCATTTGATGAGGTTTTTTTGTGTGTGTGGTAAATACCATACAGAGTATCATTTTACCCATTTTTAAGTCTACAGTTTGGTAGTGTTAGGTTTATTCACATGGTTGTGAAATATCTTCTCAACTTTTAAATGTAGGAGTATCCTAGGGTCTTAGTTCATCTCTACTTACTCTCTTGTTAACTTCAGAATTTATCTCTTCGGTTTCTGCCTTTTCTTCTGAATTCTAGACACATATATCTAAGTATTTGCATTAGTTCTTTCTTACATTGCTCTAAAGATACTACCTGAGACTGGAAAGTTTATAAAGAAAGGAGATTTAATTGATTCACAGTTCCACATGGGTGGGGAGGCCTCAGGAAACTTACAATCATGGCGGAAGGCGAAGGGGAAGCAAGGCACATCTCACATGGTGGCAGCAGAGACAGAGAGAGAGCGAGAGCACGAGCACAAAGAGGGCAGTACCAC